TGTGATGAATATGCAACCTTCGGAGGCAGAAGCAGGGTTTGATCTTAGATTGCCTCCTACAGCGGACCCGGATCTTGTGAAGAAAAGAATTGCTGAAGAGTGGGCGCCAGCTGTACGAAACATGACATACGAGGTAACATCATGATGGGTATTTATCTTCAATCATAGAAGTTTTAGATGGCATTTTCAATTCATTCATAGGAATGTGGGGTTGCTTGTTTCCCTTTTTTTAGCAACGTGATGGAGGCCCTTTTTGTTAATTGAATTGGTGGTTAACACGATGCATTGATGCTCACTAATTGAAGTAATCTCAAGTGGTCCTTGCTTATCTCGTGAAATGGTAGGCAATCTGGGAATGTTTCAGAGAGTTTGGTTGGTTTGAAACGCTGCCCTGATTATTTGAGATTTGAAGTTTACCAGTCAAAAGCATTCCTTATTAGAGCATTATTTGACTGGATTCATATTTCTTTTTCATAAACATTGCCCTAAAAGCTGAATTAGGGACCCCAAAGACAAAGAGCAATTTAGGGCCTAAAGTTGCCTCATCATGTCCATATTGTCATCTTGTGGCTATTCTGACCATCATTAGCTGTTTTTTGCGTGCTTTAACATTTTGCCAAAGTTTGGTACAGGTCGTGGGTGATGACAATATTAATGCTTGTCACTGCAAACCAGAATAAACATGATTTTATTACTTGCCATGCTCTCTCATGGATACAGGCACTTAAATGGAATGCACAATCTTCTTGTCTCAACATGCTACACACACAAGGTTTTTCTTCAGAAAATTTCTTCATAGTTTCTTAGATGACTAGTCCTTCCGCATTATATGCTTCTCAATGCTTTAGTATCAAGAACAAGTTAGATATACCTATTTTTTTAATGGATTTTTCAAAATTTAAATTGTGCATTGCAAAAGCTGTATTAGCAATAAGGTATTTTCAATGTTATCCATGTATTTTGTGCCACTGCAAATGATGCATCGAATCTTACAATTGAAGATTGAGAATATCTTTAAACATGGAAATGTCTCTTCTTAAAACAAAGAACACTCGATCCCAGACAAGACCTAGGATTGATACGGTTTATTTTTGCATGAAATAACCTTGGTTTCCCTTTATGAAATCAATATTGATTTTTAAGTGCTTTGAATTCTTTTATTTGCTCCTCCATCAAAAGGTTTGGTATGGGATGGTCCGCTGACCAGCTAAACTATGTCATCTAGACATACAAAGGGAATGTAACCGTCCATATCAATGGTCTGTTATGTTATCCTTTTATTAAATCAGCAGTAGATATTCTTGGTTACTGTCTCTTTGACATTCAAACATCAACTGCTGGAGAAATTTGTCTGGAATTTGTGAAGGAATGGTACGTGAATTCAATGCTATGATCTGCATTACCTTGTTCACTTTTTCTTCATCTTAATTGATATAGTCCCTGGTTTGTGATTCACCTGAGAATATTGATTGAGAAATCTCTCTTGTAGTTAAAAGCCACATAATTACAGGATTTGATCATTTCTGCTAACGACTATTCCAATGCAAGTGAGAAGTTTAAAATGTCATGATTTATTGCTCTTGGTGGCGGTTTTGCTTTTGGCTCTCAACAAGGAAAGGTTGCATTAGAGAAATTTGTCTGATTACTTGTTCATATGATAGATAATTGAGAAAGGACCCTTGAGAGATTATATGGGACTCCCGTTAATGACAGCAACAGATGATTCGAACCCATGGTGGTCTGTTTTCAAGCAAGCCATTGCAGCAGCTGGAGGAAAACTTGCAAAGCCTGAAATATTGCGTTCAACTACTGATGCGCGGTTCATGAGACAGTTGGGGATTCCCACTTTCGGATTCTCTCCAATGACAAATACCCCTCTTTTATCCCATGATCATAACGAGGTTTGTAAAGTTTGCAGATAAATTATTCTCTCATTAGTAGTTTCATACCATGCTTGGTACTTACATCTGTAAGCATGTATTGCAGTTCTTGAAGGACACCATATTCTTGAAAGGAATTGAGGTTTATGAACATATAATTCATGAGTTGAGTTCGTTCGAGGAAGCTAATTTAATATAGATGTTCTCAGTTTGGACATGACTGTAGGACCAATGTATGGCATGCTGATTTTGATGCGGCGGGGTTGTCATGACTGGTAAGATATGCCATGTGCTTGCATCATTTTGCTATGTGTAGTGTAATCATTTACTTAGTTGATAAGAGCGCTTATCTATAAGATGAGCAACAGAGTTCGTTGTATATGGACCTATTAAAACCCATTGTACGGACTCCACTAATTGATAGTTGACCTACTATTCCGTCATTTAAACCCGAATGTGATCTGAAATTGAGTTGTGAGAAGGTGCTTCTGTGATAGCATTAGAATGTTGGCTGTGGATGTGACCTGCATCTGGTAACTGGCATTCAATACTGTACATCAAAGAAGTTTCATCGATGATATATATGAAGGTCTTTTCTGTTATGCGTCGTGGTAGCTCTTTTTCCCTTTTCTTTTTAATTCTTAAAATTTTGAAGGTTTGGGTATCATTAATGTTTGCCAATGTGAATGTGTACAAGAAAACAGCTGGTTCTTTCGGATTATTTCCATCTAACATATGCCCTGTTTTCATCTCATGCATTTGCTAACGTGATTGGAGTACCTACATAAGGCAGAGTCAGAGGGAGGCAAATATGTGTGCAGATAAATGCAGTTTGGCACTCAAGGCTTTGATACCCCACCTCCTGCCATTTCCCATATTTTGTATGTATCAGGATATAAGGGTGGGCTGGTGGCGATTCCTCCTCCCATTGCGAAAAAAGGAGGAGAAAAGAAAAGAAAAGAGGAAAGGGTGCTGCTAAATTCGCTACAAAATTTGTTGTTCCCGCTACTTTCTAGAATGACTAGTAAATTTTCAATGCCAGCTTTAATAATGAGAGTAGCATACTAAGCTGCAATGAATTGGATACATTATCCATTTACAAAATCAAGCAGTTGGAAAAACAAATTTGCTATTAAATTGAGCAGGATGTCACTTTCTTTTCCAACCTGAACTTCCCACTTTGATAACTCGTGGGAAAAAGAGGGAAATCAGATTTTAGCGGGAGATAACTTGGGAGGAGAATCATAGCATGTTGATTGTTGAAATAGCAAACCAGGTAACTGATAAATTGACGAGAAGGGAACTGTTATCTCTTTTACAATGCAATTCTTTTGAGTTTTCACCATTTTCCTGTCCAGTGGGAAATCGTTAAAGAACAAGGGCAATCATCAGATTATATTAGGCGAACATGGAGTTGTTCGCAATCTAGTCACGGGAATGGAGTCGAATCCGAGACCAGCCTCCAAAACTCTAAAATATAAATTACACCAACTGCCTCTAAAACTCTAAAATATAAATTACACCACGCAGCTAGCTAGATACTGTCATTAAGTTAACTTGGGAGCTAGATGTTCGACGTTACCACGATTTATAATTTGCAAGTCGGGTTCGGGACTTGCGTTGCATTTCCATGAGCCGAGCATGCAAAGTTTGAAACCCAAGTGCCTTAACGCCCATGGATATCATCTATTTTCAATCTAAGAGTGTGCGACTCTGGATACATGAAGAGTATTTGGAACAAAATTCTAACCTAACAACTGTAGAGCGTCGTACCTGGAAGAAACAGTCTTGTTGAAATCTAGCCTATAATGGCCACAATCTATAAAATGCGGCCACTTTATGCCAAGACATTTTTAGTCCTCCGGAATCGTCCAAAAATATAATGCAACATCCATTGAATATATATATATAATTACAATAGTACTGCTATGCAACATCCATTGAATATATATATATATATAATAACAATAGTACTGTTGCACTATATATCGACAATGTACGTCTCTCTCATAAAGAGCTGGGTCAGCAAGTTCACTCAACTCTCAAGATGTATAATATATATTTGGCTAACAAAAATACTAGTACAGCCATATCTAAAGCATTACGTGAGCCATGACTAAGGGATATGGTGGTTGCCATGGATACCCTCACGAAACCTCTTCCTCGAAGCTTCACTTACCTCGGAAAAAAAAAACTATGGATTTGATTCTTTTCTTCTGAAACCTGACCCGGCCACATGGATCTTGCCACTTCATCCTCCAGCGTACTCCGATCTTTGAACAACCTTCATTGCACTTTCGCCGGTATCCCTAATATCCCACCTCTTGCATGTTTCCTATAATATTTACTGGGAAGTGACACTGGTCTAATATTGCCATCTGGATTTTGGCCTCTTCTGTGGGGGCCCTTCTTCCTGCTGGCTCGACTCGCCACTTTTTAATACCGGACTCATTATTACATAAATATGCAGGTACGGAAAGTTATGGGTACGTTGCCAGTTAAGCAATCAACCCTACTTTCTATAATATAATTGCTGCAAGTGCATGTAATATGATGGATATTTGATACGATTGAAGAAGAAGCGTGTCTTCATTCATCATCCATTTGTAGTTTAGTCATCGGGTGGGGACTCGAGGCGGAATGCACGTATAGATAGAGCTGCGTTAAGAGAACAATGCCGAAAATCAATATAGATTTTGTTACTGCCTTGATATAAAAGGATCGTCATTTGCTTCATTTTTCTTGGTGTGCTAGCAATCAAAGCTGAACTAGAGCTTGAGATGCACAGCCAAGGTAAAATTAGCTTGTAAAAACCTCTCGAGGTACTAGAGATAGTAAAGGTTGCCGGCTCGGACAACACCCCGCGCATTTATGTGAATTTCACTTCAATTTTTTCACCCCGCGCATATATGTGATTGTAAGAAACTCTCTTTCCCAATTATTAATCCTAACCCCGTCAGCATATGTGAGAATTTCATTTTAATTTTTTGTTTAAGCTTGTACACTTCAACAATTGAATTTTTTGATAGTAGATTGATTGGTTTCTATATTTGTGTTGAAATTATTTGCTATGTCAATCCGCCATTTGTATTGACTAATAATTATATTAAAATTAAAAAAAAAAAGAAGAAGAAGACAGAAATGCATTTGGATTGCAACAACAATCCACAACGCAAAAGTTAATGTCCTTAGACATGTAAGAATCAAACCTAGGTGTAGATATTTACGTTATGGTACTACAATTTATTTTATTATGTTTTAGTCCCTAAATGTTAAAAAATAAAGAGAAAATTATCCAAAAATAAAATAAGAGAGAGAATCTTCAATCAACTGCATCTCAGCAACAAAAAATGACAATCTTGACGTGGATGTTAATGAGTTGGTTTTAAAGATATTTATTTAATAAAAGTGGTTTGGATATCTAATCATGACAAAAAAAATAAATCATTTTTTTAAAAAAATTAGTTTTTGATTTTATTTTTAATTAAAAGACTGATTGGAATATGTTTTGAGATTGTAAGTGGATTTTTTCTATTAAAATAGATTGATGTCGTGACTTTTGATTTATACTTGATTTTATAAATAATTTTTTATTGTATTATTAAGTAAAAATTAATTAAAAAACAAAGTTTTTAAAGGAGTTCATAACCTGAATGGTAAATTTGACGGGTTGAGCTGTAAAATCCTAATTGATTAAATACACTATCATCTTAACATTAAAAAAATATCATCTTGATTCTTTTTAAAGTTAAATCATGTTTTTTATTGTTTATTTAGATTGATTTGGGAAATATTAAATCAACTTAGTCAAATTAAAATTTTACATTATTTAATTCAAATCTAATTAAATTATATAAGTAATTGAATCACTTAGGTCAGAAAATTATAAAATAAACCAAATTAAATCAAAATTCAATAATAATATCAAATAATTTCTTTTGGAGATTTCTTATAAGCTAAACATTTATTTTTTTACTTTCAAGATTTTTTTTAATTCAAGCTGCGGCATAGCTAGCGAGGCCTTCTTTGTATCTCCTGTAAAATTCCATTGCCAGCTGCTTGCTAACACTATACTACAAGTTACCAGGCTCTCATTTTGGTCAAATTTCTCTGGCTTTCACAACTAGCCTTTTCCAAGTCTGAATGTGGTTAAGTAAAAATCAATAAACTACCGTAAGTAATTCCTCGATCTAAAGACTTTTCATATAGAAGTTTGTAGTTTTCATTGTTCAAACAGCTCATGCGACACTGTCTACCAAGTTTATGGCACTGCCCGAAACATAAAGAAAAGCCGCCTTTGATGCCATGCACATGGTTGGTGAACTAGCTCGTTTGAACCACAAGCTCTAAAGTGGTATAAAAAGGTCAACCAAAGTGAGCCATTGCCCATAATACTAAGTAAAGAAATTTCCTGCTGAACTTCCTTCAAACAAACGAAGAAGTCCTTGTCATATTCCTTGACTTCTGACAACTTGAAAATAAACAAAAGACGTGGAGTGTGGCCGGAACGTGTCATGTGCCATATTAAATATAGAGATGCCTTGTTTTAGTGGTTTTTTTTGTTTTATTTTAATACTAACAGCAGGTTAACGGAGATGTCGAGTACGGATTGACGACACTATTCTTTTCACACATGAATTATCATTGAAGAACTCGATTCTTCTTGTAGATTTAATAATATCCTATATAGAACGCGTATGAATGAATTTTGAGTAAATTTAGTGCTGAAAGACCCTGATTAGTTTATCGAGAAGTTAAGAACAAGAAAGGATTTTTCTTATCAAATTATATTTACTTTACACCGGTCCCTTTAATATTTCGTCTCATTATTTCGCCAGGTGACTTCCTACGACCTGTCTTCGTAGAGATGCACTAAATTCAAAGTCCTGCTATAATAATGGTTCCATTCTGGTTATTTATATTAGGAAATATAGAAGGGAGTTGGAATACGCAAGAAGGAATGACGACATAATAATTTAAAATGTCTGTAAAAGGGCCATTTGGCATGTAAATTTGAAAGACTATGCATTGAGTCTGAAATCATAAATCAGCTTAAAATAGAGGTAGAATGAGGATAGAGATTTTTAAAGAATAATATAACATTATTTATCAAATTCTTTTAATAATTTAAATTTATTAGTTGAAATAATTCCTTAACACTAGCTATATTAAAAACATTGATTGTCAATTAAATTTGCGACGATCAGTTTCGTTCTTCACTTTGCAGTCATGAACAAGTAGTGTTGTCGGCAATTGGAAGTCTACAAAACCATTTTAAATGGCATTCTCTGTTTCATGGAACACCATGCTGCGTGTATTGATGAGTGATATTTGAATCATCTATGCAAACTCCACAGGTCTGTTTACCGTCTCCAGAAATCTCCCCATGCATGCATGGTTCTCTTGCCTCCATAAATTCTTAGCTGGTTTCGGTTTTGAGGGGTCCAGCACACTGGTTGCTCCTTATTCATTTACAGAAAAGACCATGTCTAGATCTTTCTCCCTGTGGATGTTGATGACATGCTCATTATTAAGAGTAATATATCTTTTATGCATACAATCATCTCTGGTTTGAACTCACGATTTTCAATTAGGACTATTGTTTATTTCCTGATTCCTAAAACCTTTAACTATCATTTACTCGGTTCAATCCAAAGAGTAGTTAATGTTTTCATTATTGGAGAATTGAAAAAAAAAAAACTACAGAAAGATTCACAAAAAATATTACATTATTGTTTCTTGACAGAAAGTTTATCACTAATTTCTGATATAAATGGTGACGGGATAAAAAAATTATTTTGGCAATTCTGTCAGTATAGTTAACGTGTCAAATTACGATAAAAATTCCGCTAGTGATCTTAAAAGGATTTAAATCCCGACTGTCTAGCCTCTCTTCTCCCACATTTCTTCTTCCTTTTCTTCTTCACTTTACAATCACACCAGCCCCACCTCTCCACCAAGCAATCAATTCTAACAACCCCCTCATAAATCCGGCTACCTAAGCTGCTGGTCTGTCGAACAACCTTTGTTCAATAGCACCAGTTTCCCTCCATTGATTTATTTATTGTCAAACTTCACTCCACCAA